CCACACTGGAGACTTTCAGACACTCTAGGATTTAAACCGTCTGTGCTCGCTTGCGTAAGCTCCGGATCGGAAACTCACCACGGGGGGAATCTTGATAATCATGGGAATCAGGCAGGGTTGGCCGTCACGGTCGCGCACCTTGGCATTGGCACCGAACTCAAGTAACGTTCGCGCAGCGTCACTTCGATCTGAAAATGGAAGAGAACGTTGGTGGAAAGAATTTGCGGCGTTGCTACGGCTTCAGTGAAAATCGGCTGGCCGATAGACGGGTGGCTACTAAACTAGTATGCATCTTATTACTGATTTTGTCTGCCTTTATAAGTCCAAATGTATTTTATGGAACACATGCACAAAAATATTTTTCTTGTATCGTTTTGGTAGAAAATTACGCCTTCTTTAATTTTTATTCTTAAAGGTATGATGTTTTTCGGTTTTTGAAATGTTTTTTTGAATGTCCAAATTATTTTGAACTCTACTGACTGCTACACTTGAATTCAAGGTTTACAAACCGCGCGCTGTGTACATCCTGTCTAAGATAAAGTACCTTTTTATCTTAGTTTTGGGGAAGAACTCACACAGTTCTCATGCAATGTTGTAATAGATGAGGATCATGCTCTATACATTAGAGGCAGCATTAACAAATTGATGGATACGATATATTATGAATGGACACCTTAAAATCGTAAAAAGTCTCATAATTATAGATTTAACTGAACAATACCATTACTTTATGCATAAATTTTAACGAAGGCGTAATTTTTCTACCAGACGAGTAACAGGAAAACAAAATTTTCATGCAAGTTTTCCACAAAATATATTTGAAGTTATAAAGGCAGTCAGAAACAATGATAAAAATCCCTACTATTTAAGTAGCCATTTTTACACTACATACGTTTTGGTAGCGGTCAGAAAAAAGCTCGTTAAAAGGCGGCATCCTATCGTGACTGAAATGACTTTAGAATAGGCTACTCGAAAATCTGTATTTTAATGTTTCCCAATGCCGATTAGCGCGTGAGTATCAATATTTCGCGAATGTTGGCGTGTTGCACGAATTCTGAGCCGAATTCTACACAACTTTTCATAAAGTCATATACGAT